CCAAAGGGACACAGCTGTTCACAGCCAGTGACAGCGAAGGGAATGGCTGCTGGCCTCCGGATGCTGTCTGCCAACCTGCGTGCCCCTGGCCCTGGTTCCCGGGCAGGCCACCCTCGATGGCGGGATGTCTTTCCCCACTGCGGACGCTCTGTGAGCTCCGAGTCCCACGTGCTCCCCGGCCTGTGGTCTGCGCTCTGCCTTCTGTCTGTGGCATCTCCCACTACTCAGAAATAGGGAACGTTTATGCAGTCAGAGGCATGTTTCCTTTTCACAGCTTCCGAGTCTCCTGTCTTAGCAGGCTCGTCCCACCTCAAGGTCATGTAGATACTCTCTCAAGTTTTCTTCACATGCTCTTGCTGCTGGGGTGACCACAGGGGAGGGGTACGGCCTCCCTGGGACCCTTGAACGCCCAGCTCGGGCCTCGGGCAGCTCTCGGCTGTCAGAAATGACCCAGCGCTTGCTCTCAAAATGATCTGTGACCCAGACCAGGTGCGCGAAACGCAGACCCCTCTTGGGTCATTACCTTCTCCTCCAGGCCTCAGGGCCCCCTTGCTGTCCGTGGTCACAGCTGCTCTTTGTGGTTGCCTCTCAGCTTGTGTGCTGGTCAGCTCTAGTGCCCTCCCCAGGGAGTCCTGAGCCGGCTGGCACCCCACCCTACTTTGCCACATGAACCACTGAAATGCTGTCCTGAAGTTCAACGAACATCTAAAGGCAAATTACGTCTCAAACAGCTGAGCCACCCACAGGGTTCCGCTGTCAGAGAGCATGTGCCAGGTCCCAGGCCCCAGCCAGCGGGCGTGGGTGCTAAGAGAGAGTGCCGAGCTTACAGAGACATTCTGGGCGGCTCCCCGGACTCGGCTGCAGTGGGAACGGGCTCCTCTGTGCCCTCCATCTCTTTGGGTCATGACTTATAACCTGGGAGGATCTCTATTCCCAGTTCTGGAGAGACCATCTGACAGCAGAGAAAGCAGTGATGTGGGATGAATTAACACTCACCCTCAGTTTCCAAATGCCAAGCCTACTGTGGCCTGGCCCCTTCTGAAGGGTCCTCTCTGAGGCTGTGGCCGGTCCCTGTGGGGCTGAATGGAGCTCAGTGACGCTGGCCATCTCTGAGGCTGTGGGACGGATCCTGGTCTACTTGCCCTTGGCAGGACCCTCTCCAATCAAGACCCATCTCATCTCATCTCCACCCCTGGGCAGGTGTGACCAGCAGGTCCCCAGAGGCCCTGGCAGCTTCGCTTCCAGCTGTGTGTGCCTGTGGGTGAAGCCACCCCTCCCGGCTTAGGGGTGAGCTAGGCCCACCCCCACCACGGCTCCTTGCAGAGGGCAGCAGACGAGCAGAACCTGGTGCGGAACACGAGCATGACCGCCACAAGCCATCGAGCCGTCACTGTGCCAGCCGGGGCACCTGGGCTGGTGTCCCAGTCACACTGCATGTCCAAGGCTCCTACAACCTGATGTCCCAACTCCACTCCTGTGGCTCTGGCTGCCAGGAGGCCCACACTCTTCCACAGCCTGGCTTGGGAGCTGCCACCATCCAATGGCAAACCACGGCGCAAAGAGGCCAGGCGACGGCCTGAGGTCACAGGGCTGGAAGGCTGGGGCCTGCCACCACTAGGACGTCTGGCTGACACAGGGATTGGGGGCCAGGAATGACAAGGCAGGGGCGGACACAAGCACTTACCTGGCAGTTGTTTTTTGCGTCAAAGTCATTCTTTCCTGACCTTTTCTCTTGATCCAACTTCTGGTGACTCTCTCGGAGCAGGTAACAAACCAACCACTCGTAGGCCGCCAGGGGGACTTCAAAACAGGAAACACAAGAGACAGTGACGGTAGAGCGGCTGACATGTGTCCTGTGTTCACCTACATACACGGTATGCAGGCACCTTGTGTACACAGAAACCTTCATGACACGTGTGTGAGTCCAGTTCACAGACAAGAAACTGGGGCAGGGGGAGGGGCTAACCAGGGACAGGACGTTTCCTGGCTCTGCTGCAAGGCCTCAGGAGTCCCACACTCTTCTCGTGACCCCGAGGCAGGGGCAAACACCCCACTGGCAATGGCTGCACATTCAGGCTGGTGCTCACGTGCTAGTGTGCATGAAACGGGGGCACGTGCCCTCAGCGTCACCCGTATTTGCATGGACAGCAGGACGACTTCAGGGCAGACGGCAGACAAATGACGAGAGGAAGGGGCACCTGTCCACTGGGCTGGCCCAACCCTCGACCTCCCTGCTGCTGGCAGGCCGCTGAGCCAGGAGTGCACACGGGCTCCCTGAGGCCTCACCCCACATGCCCCTACCTACCTCCCTGCAGCCCCAAGGGGAGGAGGAGGGGCAGCCACAGAGGGGAAAGTGCCACAGCCCGCTGGAGTGGGCGGACCACAGGAAGGGCCCACGGGCGCAGCCCCCCAGCCTCACCCTGCCCCGGGCGCCTGCCCACACCCTGTTGTTCTTGTCACATCTCAGCTGGGACTGACACATCCGCGGCACCTCCTGTGGACCAGCCATGCTCCAAGAATTTCGCAGTTCCTCAAACACCCTGCACAGCTGTGCTGCTGAGGATGTGGGGCACAAGGGGGTGCCCAGAGCATGCAGCTGGTGAGCAAGAGGTGTTATGACCTGGCCGTGTGGCTGAGTCCACGCTTTCACCCCCACCTGGGCACAGAGGTCTGGCACTGGGGTGTGCAGGACGCAGGGGTCCCTTCTGCCTGGCAGCTGCTCTTGGCTCAGAGCTCCCAGGACAAGAGGGATATGGCCACGCTGGGTCTGGGGCTTCCGGTCACAGCTGTTCCGGGGAAGGGTCACAGCCTTTGCTGGGATCCTGCTGCAGGCCTGGCTGTCTCACAGCGATTCTGAGTCAATCCTCACAGCACAACTGACAGCTCCATTAAAGAGTAAAATAGTTACCAGGGCTGAGGAGAGGAAGGCTTGGAGATGGCAAGCAGCCACCCCAGCTTGCACAGCTGCCAAGAGGGAGAGCTGAGGGAACGCGGGCTCCTTGGACACGTAATCTGCACAGCCATTCTCGGGGAGCCCAGCAAGGCAGATGGAGGGGGCCCTGGGGTGAGGCACCCTTCCCAGCGCCCGCAGGTGTGGTGGCTTGGATGAGGCCCCCAACAGACATGTTCATGTCCTGCCCCGGAACCTGTGTATGTGCCCTTCCTTGGGAAGAAGGTCTGTGCGGATATAACCAGCTAAGGGCGTCAAGATGAGATCTTGGAGTGGGTGGGCCCTACGTCCAACACAAGTGCCCATATGAGAGGCGGGGAGGCCAGTGAGGGTGGTGCAGGGATGGGAGTGAGGCGGCCACAGTCCAGAGTGCTGGGCCCTCGAGGCCGAGCAGGCAGGAAGGGTCCCCCAGGTCTTCAGAGGGAGGCAGTCCTGCCCACGCCTCAACTTTGGACGTCGGCCCAGGCCCGAGGAGAGCAGCTCCTGCTGTACTCTGCACCAAGCTGTGCCCGGGACCGACACGTGGAGCCCGCGGGCATCCAGAGCCCAGACGCCGTCCTTCAGGGTGTCCCTGCAGCCAGCGCGGAACCAAAGCAGACGCGGACAGGGCCCGTTCTGACCAAGGCCTGTTCTGGAGGCCCGGAGACTGCTGCTCCCTCACTAGCTGCCAGGGGGTGGGCCGTCACAAGCGGAGAAAGGGGGTGTCAGGAGACTGGCATTTTCCATGACGTATTTACATAGCACAAAGCCCAAGGAAGCTGCTGAGGCCAGAAATGGCCGGTGCTGAATCCTCACCGGAGCCAGAGGCCCCCGTGCCCAGTGACGCCTCACCCGCAGCCCACTGTCCCTCACCATCTGTCGAAGCTCGTCCCAAACTCAGCCCTTAAAGGCGTCCCTCTGTGGTGGGCACGCTGCTGCGGAAGCTTCCTGAATGTCCAGGTGATTTCCACAGCAGATGTAACCCACGGTGCCTGACAGCGATGACAGATCCGGGGTCTGCTCTGTACTTCATGGAAAGCAAGCTCGAAGCAGGTGTTGTTTGAACCCTTATTGTTTTAGAAACTCCAGGTTTAGCTCTTAATTTTTTATAAAAAAGTACATCACGTTGCTTCTACATGTTCACACGGGAGGGAGAAGAGTCCGTAGCAAACACAGGAAAGCGCATGCAGGTGACAATGAGCAGGGTGTTGTGCGGGCAAGCCACGGAATCCATCCGGAAGTGAGGAACCACTTATGACCAAACTCTGGCACGGTTCGGCAGGACGCTCCTGGCGGGGGCTGCTAACGGCATTTGTCCTATGCCCGCCCTGGGTCACCGCTTTCGAAGTGCCACGGGCACAGGGGACTCCTCGGGACTCCACTGAATCCCCCTCTGAACCCCTCGACTGCCCCTCATCCTGTGGCTGGAGCTGAGTGCAGCCTGTCCCGCCACGCCAGTGATGGGCCTCACGTGAAGTGATGGTCCTCAGGTGCGCGGGACCCTTGGCAAAACCCACCCTAGTCAGTGCACATGCTTGTGCGTAGACCCGAGGAACCTGAACGGGGGCCAGGCCTGCCCTTCCCTCTCCAAATGAACATTTTATTCCCTGAAGAAAAAGCTAATGACTTCCAAGGAGGCCGCCCTCAAATACCAGATGGCCTTGCGCCCAGTCCTGCAGAGCTTGGGGGTCCTAAGTCTTTTACGTAATTTTTACCAAAGGTCCAGTGGCAATCCCGCCCCGAGATTATGGATCTGATGAGCCGAGGCCCGAGACAAGGGGCTGGTGGAACTGCAAGCTCTCTGCTCAGCATGGAAAACATCCGTGCTCAGTGCCAAGCAGCAGCTTTCGCCAAATGAATTTTAGCTATGTGGACGAGCCACAGAATTCTTCTGGAAATGAGGAATCAGTGCTGCATTTTTCCTCCAGTAAATGCTTCCACTGTTAGACGGATCTTGCAGAAATGAGGGTGCTCCCAGGAGCAACCTGGTGTGGCCCAGGCACTTCCCTGATGCTGGTCGACAAAAATTGAACGCGAGCAGAGCGTGGCGGACAGTCAGGCGGCAGGTGGGCCACTTGTTTACCTTTTGATTTTACAAAGGTGATGGTTTTAGGGAAAATTCTGGTTGGGTTGACATTATTAGAATGACTAGGTCGTTTTCTAGTGCATTCTGCAGCAACAGTTGGTTGGAGATCTCTGTACCCGTGATGAACAGATCTTCAAGTGTGTCCTGTTTCCTCTTGGTGCTTAAAAACGGCAGATGACAAATTGCCAGAAAAATATAACAAACTGCGGTGGCCAGTGAGAAATCAAGTCCTTACTAGCAGGAAGGTCTCCCGGAGGAAGAGGGTGACAGGCAGCTGGGGTCCGCCCCGCCAGGGCTACAGGCTTGGCAGATGGGCCAGCGCCACCTTGCTGTCCACCTCAGTCTCTCTGGAAGACATGAGCAGGGGATGCAGGCCCGCAGGGCTGGCCTGGTGCTCTCCGTCCTCACGTAAGGGACGGCAGCGGCTCCTTCACCCAGGGCACCGAGAGGCCCCAGGCCCTCAGGGACACTCAGTCGGGGGCCTCCAGGCTGCAGAGCCAGTGCCCTCCTGCCACGCCAAAGGGCCTCTGCGGCAGTGTGCGGTGGAATGAATGACATCTCCATGGTGATTTCCATGGTTAGCTAGACCCCTAACACAGCTGTGGGTCTGAACAGCTGTCGGCAGTTACTGAGCCCGTCTAGGGCGCAAGCACTGTGCCAAGAGCTTCGTGTCAGCTTGTTCACATCAGGAAAGCCTTTGAGTCAGGCACTGCTATGACCCCAGGGCACAGGCCAGGAAACTGAGGCAGGAGGGTGCAGGACCGACCTTAGGCCACAGCAGGGGTGCAGAGGGGCCAGGAGCAGACCTGGGGCCAGGGAAGGGGTCTCGTGTCCTGGCAGGTGAGCGGCGCCTCCGGTTTCTTGGGTGACTCACCAGGAGAGTCAGCCGAGCCCGGCCCACCAGGATGTGCTCCCCAGCTCCAGGCTAAGGCTCAGGGGGCTGGGAAACAAGTGCTCGGGTGGCAGCGAGCAGCACGTGCGCTCGTGCTGGCGGGTAAGGTGACGGCGGTGTCGGTGTGACCGAAGCCGCCATTTTTGATACAGGAGCTAAGGGCGAGTGGGACAGCACAGGAGGCAGGCGCGTCCTCGGAGCCAGGCGGCGGGCAGTGGGGACACAGGGCTCCAGAGAGGGTCCAGCCCTGCCCCTCCTACAACCTCGTCTCAGTGCCCGCGGGGAGGCTCCAGGGACTGTGGCCGAGACCCTGCGCTCCGGATAGCAACAGGTGTTGGCCCAGACCCGGACACTGGCTTCCGCCCAGGACGGGCCGCTGGGCATCTGGAGCCCCAGCTGTGGTAGGGTGACGTGCTCCACACAAATGGAGGATACCAGGGATGGGACACAGGTGGGGGGACAGGGATGGGGAAGGGTACAGAACAGGGTGGGGATGGGATGGGGATGGGGACAGGAGGGGCTGGGGTCAAGGCAGCAGCACCCCAGTTCCTCCCCTCAGGCCCCCCTGCACTAGTCCCTGTCCTGCAGGCTTCTCCGCCCCCTCCACCACCACCCCACCACCTGCTCAGGATGTATTCCCTCGCCTCACCCCTTAAGAGCTCAGGGAAATGTATAGAGTCGGTGGGCGAAAACACAAGAGCAAGTGCCCCCCACAGAGAGACGAGACCGCAGGCCAAGGTCGAGCAGGTGCTCTGGCAGGAGCTTTGCAACCTGCGCTTCTGCCCGCCTATGGCCAGTGGCCCCCGCTGTCCAAGGACAGGCGCCATGACAGCAAAGTGGGGCCACTGCCTGCGCAGACGGGATAACCGTGTCCAAGTGAGAGGAGCAGAGAGACAAAATGCTGACCGCAGCCGAGGCTGGAACAGGAGCCGAGCAGCAAATGAGGCGGGGGTGCTGGGGGGCAGCCGGGGACAGGGAGAGAGGCACCACCAGGCCCAGAGAGCAGGCCCGGAGCAAGAGCCCTGAGCCGGACAGCTGCCCCTGTGAGGGGACCCGACCCAGAGGCAGTGGGCGGGATGGAGACTGGCCCCAGCACACTTGCCAGTCGTCACCTGTGGGGAGCACTCCGGCCCCTTTCCATCTCTGCGGTCGGAGCCCAACTGGGTGTTGTGCCCAGGGCCTCCCCCTGCCCTACTGCTGGCTGTGACGGCCGAAGCTCCCACACAGGGCAAGGCCCGCCCGCCGCGGTCCCACAGGAGGGGGACGGGAGAGAGCATATTCACCTGAGGAGTCCAGGCAGCCGCCGCTGCTGGGGCCCTCGAACCTCCGGCCAAGGATGTCGGAAGAGGCTTCCAGAAACTTCACAGTCTTCAGAGGGCTCTCAAAGTGAGCGCCACCTAGGAGCACACCCAGGGGCTCTGTGGACCCCAAACCAGAGCGCATCCCAGAAGTCCCCAGCATCTGCCCCGGCCAACACCGCTGAGTGACAGTCCCCTCCCGGCAAGCTCAGGGCACCCTGGCCGGGGCTCACTCAGCTGCGGCCCAGCTCACCTTGGCCCTGGTGAGCCCACAGGCCGAGCAGGTAGTTGCTGGTCTGCTGCAGCAGGACGTTGTTGTCACCTTCGTATGTGCAGTTCGGGTCGTTGTCATCTCTGAGGTTGCCCAGGCGGTTCACTGCAATGGAGCCAAGCATCTCATCCTGGGAGTCATGCGCGTGAGGAGCACGTGGCCACCCTCTGCGCCTGGACTCCAGACCCGCCTCCCACCCGGCCCAGCCTCCGGCCTCCAGACATCAGCTGCTCCAGTTCACCCCGAACAGCCTGGGTTTGAATTGTGCTGCGGCCACTTAACCGCGGATTCTTTTCAATAAACACACCAGAAAAGGTTTTGGGGATCTGCGACAATTTGAAAAAACTTGCATATGAACCGCACAGCCAAGAAATATTGAAAAAAATGAAGAAAAGGTTAGGTATGTCCTGAATGCATAAAGCATCTATAGATACTAGTTTATTTTATTGTTTGCTACCATAAAATCAACAGAAGGCAGTTAGTAGTTTTAGTTCTGGGGAGTCAAAAGTTATATGCAGATTTTCAATGACATGGGTCCCTGAGTTGTTCAAGGGCCAACCGTAGTGGTGACACCTGGTAAGGTAGCCAGGCAGGTGAAGGGGCACCCCACCCCCCGCCGCAAAAGAGCCAGCACGGTGCTGGTGAGCGCTGAGCACACTGTCACCACCCAGCTTTGAAGGTCACCTGGCATGAGCTCCCTCCAGAGTGGGGGCCGCGGACAGACAGAGGACGCTTCCGGGGGGGCTGGCACCCGGGGCCCTGCGCCCTTCTTTCTTCTACATCTGAATGAACCTTCTTTTAAACAAGAAATTTCAAGTATCTGAAGACAACTCTCATTTTTCTTTTGTTGTCTCTCCTGCCAGTGAAGTGTCCCAGACCCTTTGTATATTTTATGAAATATGCCTGCCAGCCGGTCCTCGCCTGGGCCTCCAGCCTCTGACAGAGCGCGCTCTCCCGGTGTGAGGCTGGGATCGGGGGGACCAGCAGGAAAAGGAGTGGGACCTGACCTCTCATGCCCACGTCCTGTGAGGAACGGAGCCCCCCCGCGAGTGTGTAAGGCGTTCTGTGGCAGCCACAAGGCCGGTGTCGCCTGTAACACCTTGATTCTTTCCTAACTCACTGCGCCGCCGTGCCACAGACCACTTAACCTGAAGAGCTGGGCGTGACCTTAGAGAAATGATTGGCAATTGATGTATGTTAAAACCAGTAAAGGTCTTTATGTGTATCCCTGCTGAGCTCGGGCTTGCTGATTGCAGCCCAGCGTTTGTACATGGAAGGACATTTTTCAGTCGGTTTTGTGGTCTGCAGGGCCATACTATTCAATTCCCTCATTCTGTTTAAAACTGGAAGGACTCTAAACTATTTACAGCATGTCAATGAGTTAGACCAACAAACAAAAACCACAGAGAACAAAACAGGAAGGTGAGTAGCTGGGCATCGCAGCGGTTTCCCTCTGAGGCCTCTCATGACAGAAGACGGGGGTGGGGGGAGCCGAGGGGCCGCGCTGCCGGCCACCCCTCACCCCTCACGAGAAGTAACTGGCACAGACCGTCACTGAAAGCGCATGATTACCTACAGACTGTCACTGAAACACTCAAACTTGGCCAAAGCCCAAAATGCTTCTGCAGCTATAAACTGTCCATAAGGTTTCTGCCGCTTGTGTTGTTGGGAACATACGGAGATGTTCCCGATCAGTTATTTAACACTAGCACACAGGAAGTTCCGTGGGTAAGCTGCAAATAATAACATCGACTACAATGATGATGGTGATTCTACTAATAACAATAATAGATAAACATTATGGGGCACAGGCCACATGCCAACACTGTGCTAAACACTTCATGGGTATTAACTTGGTCATGGCGAGAACCTGTGTTGGCTCCTATGACCATGCCTGCTTTACAGATGAGAAAACTGAGGCACAGTGAGGTGGGGCAGCTTGCCCACCGTTAGGCAGTGACAGCGGCAAAGCAGCCTGCCTAGGCTATCGGGCGCCTGTTCCCTTAGCCACACACTAGCTGCCCAGACAGCGAGTGGCAATAAAAACTAAGTTTAAGCATTTTTCATCAGAGCAAAACTTCTTGTGCAAGTTTACTATCAAGACATTAACCAAAAAGTTACAATTCAAACGAACAGATAATCTGCTTTCTGTTCTGGTTTCTGTGGGCTCCTTTATGTGGTTTCTCCTCACTTCATATCTCCAGACTTTGAGGGGAGCGTCAGGCATGATCAGACAGCCGAGGGACCTGTCCAGGGCAGGGGCCGGCAAAGTCGTTTCTGCAGACAGCAAGCATTTTAGGCTGTCACAACCGCTCTGCGGTCATAGTGTGAAAATGGCCACAGAAAACGTGTACATGAATGGCCATGGCTTTATTCACAAAAACCGATGGCAGCTGGTGTCACCCACAGGCTATAGTTTGCTGACCCCTGGTCTCGAGTCAAATGATAGGGGTGAGGGCAGGCACACTTCTTCAAAACCTACTGGCCAGATAGCCGTGTCCACCGCACGCCTCCCGACATTCCTGAATTCCCCGCTGGGCAGTCCACGAGGCCAGGGGCTTGCCAGCTGACGTCAAGGCGTGGATCTCACGTCCGAGCTCTGCCTTGAGAGAGGGAATCCAACAAGAAGAGGTGACACCAGGGGTCAAATCGGTTCAGCCCTAGCGTCAAAGGTTTACGTCCCCTCCAGTCTAATCCAAGACACCCGATGACTGTGGACAAAGAGCCCCAATTTTAGCTGAAGAACGGGGATTCCTCTAGGAATGGGAGCATCGCGTTCACGCATATGGTCCCCAGCAGTGAAGACAACGGCCCATGGCTCTGTGCAGCAAATCACCCCAGGGCCGAGAGGCGGCGGGAAGGCAAACCACAGGACACGCGTCTGACTCAGTTTACATCAAGTTCCCCAACGGAGGCCAGGCAACATGCTGAGCCTCCAGCCATGTGGTGAGACAGAGGAAAGCCAGGAAGCAAACACAACGTGGAGACAGTGCTACCTCTGAGGAGAGGGTGGGCGGGGACGGCCCCGGAGGGCGCAGCCCTGGTGACTCACAGGAGACCCTGAGAGGGAGGAGCTCCCGGCCAGTGGCCCTGAGCACTCTGCGGTTCGGCTCCTACGTACGCTTTTGCTCCCACCTGACATTTAATAAGACCAACTAAGAGGAAGAGACGCCCACACGCCCACTAAATGACACGATCTGTTTACCACCGTTTCCTACTTCAAATAAGGGCTGCTTTTAGGTCCCACTGTACCAGGATTAAATCACTGAGTTTCAGAGAGAATAAAGCACCATTATACTTTCTGACATTATAAACAGGAGAACAATTCCAACGTCAGCTGGCAAAGTTTCAATGACTCACGCCGGGGAACATGCGCCACCCTGATCTCTCGGCCAAGGTCCCTGGTAGGCACCCACCTTTGCCCAGCAGCGCACCCTGCTGGTCACCCTGCTGCCCTTCACCCACCCCTCCTGGCACGAGGCTGTTTGTGCCAACTATTTTTCCAAAATGAGCTAATTTGATACAGGCATTTTAGGGTGTTGTATTGACCCCAATCTGCAGGGTTTCTAATCTGTTTTCAAGCGTATTTGTTTCTTGTGACTCACGTTGTACTGCGGCCAGGAGGCAGCACCAGGGACCAGGATTCACAAACCAGTCACACAGAAATCAGCAGAGGGCTTCGTTTTACGTAGCAGCTGATCTCAGTAGATTTGCACGCTCATTTCTGGCACAAATCCTTGTCTGTCAACTCAGATCCAGAATTCAGACCTTTGTAGGGTTGTTTATGAAAGGATCAGAAGCATGAAAGCCACCAGGGGCCAGGAATGTGGATTTTGCAAAACCATCATGTTCTCAAAAGGACAACAGCTGAACTCACAGCCTGAGGCGTGTCAGCACAGCCTTGAGAAGCAGGAGACGGACCCAGGCCCAAGCTCCCCGGCGAGAGGCCTCGGGGCCACACAGCCCAGGGAGAGCCTCCTCCCACCAGCCGGCTGACTGAGCTTGTTTTGAAGAAAGGCTAACTCTCCGCTGATCCAGCCAATGAAACAACAAACGCTGTGGAGGAAAGAGGAAGCTCTCACCTGCCTGGCGCTCCAGTCCTTCTTCATAATGCCTAGGTAAAACTCTGCCATGTCCACGAACAGCGACTTGGAAAAGTGGTCTAAAGCGTAGGCAGCCGCCAGGTACGGGAGCAAGCGCCACTGCTGCCATAGACAAGACAGACGAGATCATGGGCACCAAGCCACGTCCCGCACACCCTGCAGACCCAGGGGCACTCGCTGGCCCTGCCCTCACCCTGGGCGGCCCCCAGGCCCCAGTTCTGTGTGACCTGCACCAGGTGCTCTGCCCACTCAGCGGTGCCTGCCCTCACAGTCCCAAGTCACAGCTGAGTGCCCACTGCCCACGGCTGTCTCACCGCAGGGATTGCTGGAACGGGCTGAATGTCTGCCTGCCGGGGACTAAGGAACCAGGCTGCTGTGCCGTATGCGGGACGCACAGGTCACGGCTGGTGCCTCGTGGGCCTGCGAGGGATGATGTGATCACCCTCACCTGAGCCAGATGGGGAAACTGAGGCTTGCAGGGAGCCAGAAGTCCCAGGAGGCAGCCTGTGCCCATCCGCTGTTGTATGGAGGGGTGGGGACAGTCCCCACCGTGGTGACACGACCACCCACCATTTGCATGCTGAGAGCCGGGCACCACCAACTGCTTTCCAGGGACCAGGATATTCAATCCTTACCCCTGCCCCATGGAGAGGCATCCTGACCAGTACCACTTAGAATGAGAACACCACAGCGCAGAGCCTAAGTGCCTCCTCGCCCAGGGCCCACTGCCAGGAGGGGTGGCCTGGAGGTCGGGCCGCAGGCGCAGCGGCTCGGGTGGACTCGCTTACTGCTAAGCCGCCCTGATGCCGGGTGGTCAGGTGCACTGTGACCTCACACAAGCCACGGGATCAGTGGTGGTGGCAGGCAATGTGTGCCACACAGGAGCCAGGACACCCTGTTTTTCCTTACTTACTATTAATATGGGCTCACAGCTGTAGCAGAAAAACATCAACAGAAACTACAATTCTGTCATCATCTCCCCAACCTTCACCACTGCACCTTGACTTACACAGAGCACGGCCCAAGGCTGGGCCGGACTTAGCCGCTGACCGCCGATACAAGCCACTTAGGAGGTCCTCAGTCTCTGACCCATAACCTGGGGATCAGAACTACACCGCTGCCAGTGGGAAGCCCAGTCCGTGGTGGGCAAGGAAGCAGCAGGGGCGGCCCTGGAATAACACTTATCCCCCGTCCTGGTGGCAACCAGCTTCCTGCACCGCAGCCCCATGAAGGGCGGCCTCGCCTCTGGGGACCTGCTGCTGCTTATGATGTTCCCGGGAACGGAGCTGCACACTCAGTCGCTGCTTCCCTTGGGGTCACTTCGCACGGCTCAGACGTGCAAGGACGCCTGCGAGGATGGGCAGAGCCGCCACGTGTGCACAGCACGCGCCTCTGGTTCCCTCGCCTGGCTAGTCGCACAGACTCCTTTATAACTTTTTAATTTGCTAAAAAGCCTCCCACCCACACGCTGCCCCCTTCCTGGTAACTTCCTGTCAGCTGCTCTGTGAACTGCCTGAGGAGGTTCGATCGACTCCCAGTAACCAGACAGCAGTTCCCGAATGGAAGTGTGCGAATTCCTGAGAACATGCAGTCACCCTTGCGAAGCTAGTACCTGCATCTGGTACTCGAGCACCGGTATCTCCTCCCCATCTGTTGGTCCAAACTGACGCCGAGTGGCTGAGAAGCGCAGCGCTATGGACACGGCCAGCTTTAAGTTAGTGACGGACATGCAAATGATGGAGACACGGCCGAAGGATAAGCCGCCCAGGGAAGCTCCAAAGCGCTGCCTGCTGTCCTGCGGAAGCAAAGCAGGCGGTGAGCACAGCAGGGCCGCCACAGGCTAAGATGTGAAGACGGAGGGATGCCTGTTCATGCACGCAGCCCTGATAAGGGCCCGTCTGCCAGGCCCAGACCCAGGGTGGCCCCAGCCACAGGCCTCTGTGGACAGGTGCCGTCAGATTTGTCAGGACAGTGCGGGGAGGGCCCTCAAAGGGGAGGCTGGCAACGCAAGGGGCTCCTGGCAGAGGGAACAGCGCTGTGCAGGGGCCTCTCCAGGGACCTGCAGGCTGCCCCCCCAGGGCGCCTGAGTGCAGCTCTTAACCTCTAAATAAGGCAGACACAGCCCATGCTGAGCACAGGTTGGGAGCAAGGAGCGAGATATCACTGGGGGTGCCCGCGTTCATTCACAAGATGGGTCCTGTTGACCCGCCACCCTGACCCCAGAATTCCTGTCTCCCCATCAAAGGCCACTTTTCCAATGGGTGTGGTGGTGGTCTGTTTTCTCTGTGTTCTTTTCAAGTGGTGATTACCTTGTACACATGTATTTGTAATCCTCTGTGTAAACCTCAGTGCACCTTTCAACAGCAGCCTGTTCTTCAGGCCCAGGGGTGGTGCTGTAGTGCGCCCAGTGCAAGGCCCTACCTGTGATCAGACCATCCTGACCTCCCTCACCACTTGCTACCCCTCCTGGGTTCATGCCCCAGTATTCAGCTACTCTTCCCAAATTATGTCCACTGTAGTATTTCTGCAATCTTCCAGAACTCTGAATGCCAGGAAATATTAGATCCTCACATGTGAACGAGCTGGATTTAAAAACATGTTTACAGGCATTTTCCCTCAATGGCATAAAATGCCATTTCACTGTCCGGCACTCAGTGTCTTGCTGCAGAAATCTGAAGGAGCGTGAGATCGGCATCCTCTCGCTGGAAGACTGCAGAATTTGCTCTTTGAAATTCTTGAACTTCTCCACGGTGTGCCTGGGGCGTGCGCTCTCCCGACCCCTCCCTGGCACGCCACGGGGCCCTGCCATCAAGGCTGCCATCCTGATTCAGAGGGTTTGTCATCATTTATTCCTCCAGGCTGTGGCTCTGGCGCGCAGCTCCTGCCTGCTGCATGCTGGGGGACTCCTGCCCTGGGATTTTCCAATCTCTGGTTCATTCTGCCACTGCTTTATCCCATCTATTGTGTGCTTTCTTTCATTTATTTTCCTATTAATTACGATTCATTTTTATACTGCTCTTCCCATTTTGAATGGCTTTCTGCTTCATGTTGCTGATTTCTCTCCTGCTCTCTCTGCGCACTGGTCACACGCGCTTGAAGCCCTGCTCTCCCAGCTCCCACACATGGTGGGGTCCCCTGACCACGTAGGGATGATGCCTGTGAGGCCTGAACTCGAAAGGTCCTCCAACTTGGGCTGCTCTGACATGGGCTATGCCTGGAAGGGCCTGAAGCCATGACATCATGTGTCTACCACCTAAAGAGTTTAAAGGCATGTGAGCCCCAGATACTGTTTGTCACCCTCATTTGGGGTGGTCCACTGGGTGACTCTTCACTCTTAAACCCTCTGAGGGAAACAGCACGGGCAGCCGCAGGGATGGTGCATGGAGTGGACACCACACGCATCTGTCGGCCAGCGTCTGTCATCATGCCTGGGAGCCTGGGGTGTGGCCGACCCAAGTGCCCCCTTCCTTGTTGGGGGCAGTGGAACCCAACCCGAGAGGTTTGCCCTGGGCCACCAGGACTTGAAGGGCAGATCTCCTGCAAGCCTGGGACAGCGTCCTGTGGGCAGGCAAGGAGGGCTTCCCACCCACAAACTCCCCTACCCAGAGATCCCTGTACCTTAAAGGGGGTGACGTAGGTACCCTCAGGGGTGACATCTCCAGTCCGGTTCAGGAGGTCTTGGCGAGGAATCCTAACCTTGTGGAACATAGCAAATCTGTGCAGAGATACAGCACGACTCAGGGTTAAATGGGTCAGGCCCCAGGCTTATCTCCTCTCCTTCCTGAAACCCATCAGATAAAAGCAAAGGACAGCCTCAGAGGTGACACAGTCCCCAAAGGACAAGGAAAATCGGAGAGGATACCAGGAGACAGGAAATTTCAAAAACTTTGCTATCTAAAAAGGAGATTTTTTTTTTAAGTGGGTGTTAAGTCTTGTGTGAAACAAAACGGCCATTACCGAGGCCAGGTGCCCCATTCCCGCCTGTGCACAAGTCCCAGCACTGCCAAGTGAGCTCCTGGCGTGCTGGGTGGAGGCCTCACCACAGGGTCAAGGACTCGGCCGGCTGCACACAACTGGAGCGCAGCTACTCAACAGGAAAGGGAAGAACTGCTGTTCTTTTTTAAAATTAGAATCTCTGTTCCTTACACTTCAATTTTAGATCAGAATCCACAAAATGATGTAATAAAATCAGCAAACTGAGGTTTTAAAACTCTCAAGTCAAACAAAAGAGCCGTGTTACTGCATCGGTGCTCCGCGGGCAAGCCAATCAGTTCCTTCTGAAGAGCTGAGAACAGACTTACACACACGTCACCACAGGCCATTTAGGTATTAATCGAAGACAGTTTTTGGGGCTGTCAGATCAGAAAAGCCATCTCCCAACACTCCCGGGAACAAGGGCATGCGAGCAGTGGTGCAGCACGGCGGTGCCAGGGAACCGGGCGTCCTGACGGCATCCACAGTCCCCAGAGCCGCTCACCCGATCACCAGGAGCATAGTGGACAATCACCACCATCCGAGCGTGCCTTAGCCAACCCACGGAGAGCGGCTCTTCAGCCCCCCTTCCCCACACCCACCCCTGCAACCCATCACCTGGCTGAGCCACCGCCCTGCCCTCCGCCTCTGGGGAAGCCGGCATCAGCTCCGCCCTTGCATCCCACCACCTCCTCCCCTATCCCTGTCTTCCAGCTCCTGCCTCTTGTCTGGTTTCCTGCCACGAGCACACCTTGGCGCTGCCCAGACCCTGCCTCTTGGGGCTGTCCTCACACAGGGGCTGAGGCCTTTTCAACCTGCCAACCGGAACAGTCACGCCCTGCATGAGCCCGCCTGACCCTGTGACCTAAGAATCCAAACCCGAAGAAGGACGCGGCAAGTCCTGGGACGGGGCTTGCGTCCGCTGCTCCCACAGCCCAGCCCTCCTCACAGTCGACAGCTGGATTGTACCTGCTTGTGACCTGCAAACCGGCCAGGCCTTTCCTGACCCTCTGGGCAGGTAGCCACCTCCTCCAGGAGACCCAACACGACTCTCCACTCCGCCCTGTGGTAGAGACAGGTGGTCCCATTCTGCAGTGACCACCACTGTCCATGTGCCTTGCTGAGCCACCTGCTTCCCTTGGCAGTGCCTGGGGCTCTTATTCACCCTTTTACAATGGGGCCATGTGCCTGGCACCTAGCAGATGCTCAGGAAGCGCTGTGAAGTGAATTCACAGTGGTGAGCCGTGGTCCCTCTGGACGTGCCCCAGCAGACCCTGAGTCCGTGGCAGCCTTGGGGAGAGCCCCTCCCAGAGCCCCTGGGAAGAGCAGAGACCTGAGGCTGGGCACAGGGCAGGCCGGAAGCCCTTCTGCAGTCCCTCAGGAAGCAGCCCGGGGACCTGCAGGTGAGGAGTACCCACCGTCATCCAGGCAGGAGGGCAGGCTCTGTGTGCTGCCCTCCTGCACGAAGGGCGGCTGCACCCAGCCTGAGCAGGCCCTGCCCAGGAGTGAGCTGCTGCTTCAGGGCCCCTGGAGGTCAATGACTGGCTGCTGTGGGGGCTGCAGGGGCCCAGGGAAGGCCCCAGATGGTGAGTCTAGATACCCCACTTTTTAGGAGTGCCCAGACTCGGTCTGACACCCCAGGGCGCTCCAGATTGCTACCTGAAAGCTGAGGGATGCTTTTTCAAGTATGATCCTATAAACTCAAAGTGCCCTTTCTAAGGAGTGGAAAATCTTCATCCTCTCTTGCCAAATGGAACAAGTCACACTTGCAAAAGCATTCACTTGAGCATGACTGAAAGCCAGGTGTCACACATTCTCTTTCAAGCACTCTAGTATCCCACAAAGCTGTTCCAGAAATGGCGGGCCAGCCTGCAAGCCAGAACTCCCAGTGTCCCCACAGGGCATGGGGCGTGTGTGTGACACGGGCGTGTGTGGCGTGGCTCTCAGTACAGAGGGGAGGTGTGTGTCCCCGCCACATTCTAACTGGCTCCACAGGCTAGGAGGCTAAGGGGACCGCTCAGAGGGACCCAGCGAGGTCACAGCACAAGCAGCCTTGGACTAGGTTGGAATCTAAGTCCCAAGCAGTCACCGTGAGCAACGGCCCAGGGGCGGCGCTGTGACCACCGAGGCCAGGCAGTGCACTCACCCATTGTCCAGACCATTCTGCCCGAGCTTCTTCCCTAGGTCGCCAACCATCACCCCTGGCATGGGAAGGAGGGTCTTTGGGTCCCGAATCTGTACAAACCACAGAAAACAGCAAACAGCAACTTTGAAAACCACACAGAAGCAAACCCAGGTGCGCTCAGACCCCCA